CCCCCCCCCCCCCCCCATTGCTACGGGAAATTTTCACAGGGTCCATACTGTCGCTCGCAAGGCTTTGAAATCAATCTCAGTACTCTGGGAACATGATAGTACGACGCGAGTAGAACTTCTTCCTTCCTCCGTCTCGGTCCATTGAAAAAAGGTTCTTGAGTCCATCTCAAGGTATCGATTAACAAACACTCGAACAGCTAGTGCTGCCTTTGTAGAGCCCGCTTTGCAGAGTAACCGCTCGTGGTAAAGCCGTTTCGAGCTTTCCTGAATGGCACAGTGAAAGCTTTCTGTGCGAACGACTCACCGAGTGTTGCACAAGAGGCGGACCTTTCGAACTCCACAGAATAACGCGACCGTGCGCATCCATTTGTGCGCGGTAGAATTTCGCCGACCTAATCGAATTCCAGTTGCGTCGGCGAAATTTCCGCATTCGCGACCGACGAGCGCGATATTTAATTTAGCAGCGCCGATTTGGTATTCATGACGAGGCATGCTGTGGACGTAAATATAACGCTTTGACGGAGCACTTGGAAATATGTATCGACCCTTTGATTTTCTTTTCCAAAATTGAACCGATATTCTATTCGCCAGGCTGAGAGACTTTGACTCGTCAGAATTGCTTTCAGCTTTTGCCATCCAAGACTCGTACTTAACGCGCCTTCTTTTGTTAGATGATAAGGATACGAAAATCTCATAAAATCGCAATTGCATTTTGTCATTTTTACGTTTCGATTATTGACAATATATCTTGTGTATATGAATTCTGTATATCATGTATAGGTATGTTTATAGGAAATTTTAGAAAATAATGCAATCGAAAACTTGATGAATCTATTTTGTTTAGATAAGAAATTGCATAATGTACATAATGCATATTGAATTATACCTGCATTCGTTTGCAGCAACAATTAAACACTTTCACCTGCTATGTCAAGAAAACCATATATCACGATAGTAATCATGCTCTATATGCTACACTGTCGTATGCAACAAAACTTTTGGTCGTAAAAAGTACTCACCTTCAGATTTAGGTGCGGGAGGTTTGCGAGTGGCCCAATTTGTCCGAATACTTCTGCCACCTAGCCATTGGCCGTTCATGTTGCCGATCGCACTCTCTGCTTCCTGAGAAAAGACAACAAGGAAAATCAATATTTTCAATCGCAAACCTCTAAAAGCGAAATCCACATATTGAAAGTGGAAAGGAAACAATTTTGTTAATTATTAAATGTAGAAGGCTGCATTAGTTTCGATATTAATTCTGTTGAATTTTGCAAACGTTCATTTAATATTTGTTAACATTTCTAACATCTTACAATATCGTGTGTATTTTTATATTATTATTAAAAAAAAAAAATGTATTTCACTCTCTTTCGCAATATTGCTTTTCGCTTGTACTGTATAATGGAATATTTTTTTTACAATACCTTAGCAGTGCATCGAATTTTATTTGGTCTTTATGCTATTACATTGTTCATTAATTCATTTTTTATGATCAAAGGGATCGTTGATTTTGCAAAGAGCATTCAAATGGAAATACAAAATATTTTGCATACAGTAAAATGGTCATTTTATTTTATAATGCACTTTATCGAATGCGTATGAACGGATACGATTACAGTTAAATTTACAAAATTCTTACATTACAATGCTGTACTCCTAAAACATGCGTTAGAAATAAATGTGTGAAACACAATAACATAAAGAATAAGATAACTGATATTTTTTGTAAAATTCGTCATGTAATTAACGTAAATTTTATTTCTTAAAATACAAACAGTAATTGTGATATTATAGAAAAGCCAGAAATGTGTGTGTGTGTATTTACGTATTACAGAATGCTTCTAAGGGATTTTACCGAGAGGCGAATGAAAATACGCGTCGTGTCGTGCGCACAGTGCCTCTACGAAAAGCTCCTTTATTGTCTTTCGCAACGTCTATAACAACAATTGCGGGACGTCGTAAGAACCGCGATAGCATCCGCGCGAGACGCGGGATGATGCCGCCGCATTCACACGCAAAACCGCGGATAAAACCAACAGGTATGTTGACGTCAATATTATCCGCGACTTATTGTTGATTCAGCCGCGGTATCTTGCCGGCATGGCCCTCGATCCAGGTCAACTTAATATACGTTTTGAAATTTTATTCGATCGACTGCACTCTTGATTCCCCGGATTTTCGTGAACCGCTTCGGGCGATCTGGGACATTTTCCATTGCGACATTGGATTCTCGAGGAAGGATCGGGGACACCTTTGGCAAAGAGGAGAAAGCGCCTTCGACGTATTTCTGTGCAATGCGAGCTATTTGCACGATCCATGGACATTCGAACGAAACGGGTTTCAGCACGACACCTAAATCCGTCCTCTTACGCGTTCATTACGCGATTCGTATAAGAAACCAAATCTGTGATAAAATTCGTAGGAAAGTTGGAAAAATCGCGATGCATCCGCGGTCGCGCATAAGAAAGAGAGTATGGCACACGTCATCATTTGTATCATGTCACGCTCGCGCGACATCGCGACGGTAATACGATGTTCGGACGACGACGGGACGCGACGCGACGCGACGGTAGATCCGTAAGGATGGCTGAGAGGATGGAGACCTAAAAATATTCTCGACGCAAGGAATTCCCCGAAAAAGTTTACTGTTCGAAAAGCTCTTTGGGTATGAGAGGCGAAGAGGAAGATATCCCGTTCTCTCACTTTTTCTCTCTTTATCTCCTTCGAGTCTCCTACAGTCTTCACCTCTTTCCAGCTTCCACGGTATAACAGTCCACCCTCCGTCGCTCTTTACTCTCACCCATTTGCGCCATTCGGGGCAAGTCCTCGGCTTTGCCTTTGCCTCATCTCAAGACGTTACTTTCTTCCAGAGCGCGGGCTACGCTTCAGCCTGCAGTGGCTCTCCGAGCTTTTCTGCACACGCTCCTCTTATTTCCCCTAGTCGCATATACCCCGCTAGATAAAATATTTCCGATTCGAATCTCCATTCTCGATATGATGCCGCGCATTCGCGTGGTTAGCCTAGATAGAGCTCAGGCGACCGAATGCCCCGTTCTAAGCCGATTCTAAACTTCGGTCGATATCCCGACGCCTCTTCGACCCGCAACCCCTGAAAACCACCGCGCCGCTTGCCTCCTTCCGTCCGGCGTGACCAGGGCGTTTACGTGGTACCAGAAGTACCACCGCCAGCCGTCTCCCGTTTCTGCCCACACTTTCCCACCGGCCGGTAGTTTGAGCTGTCCAAGCACCCATCAAATCGAATTTCTTCCGCGGTCGGCGATGCTATAGACAGACGGGAGCGCCGCTTACCGACACCCAACTGTTTTACACGCATTATTAAGTCATGCCCCAGCACGGAGTAACGCGCCGTCGGATTACGTGGCCTTAACGAAACTTCCTTCTGCACCAAACAAACTGTACAAAGCCTGATTGTAATCGACTTTGCCTCTTTAGACTTGTTTCTCTTCAATTTTTCATTATTTACATTGAATTTTTATTGTTTTGTAAATTTTCTCATTAAATGCTTTTAATTCGCAGTAAAAGATGTACGCGTATTTTTAACAAATTATGGTAAATTAAACTAGTTATGATAGTTATATATTTTTAACTAATAATAATGTTCTTAAAAGATATACTAAATATGTTACTTATTTTGCAGATATATTTCGTATTTAATAAAAAATTTTACATTAAATAATGTAGAGCCTTCCAACTTTGGACTGTTTCTTCGCTTAAAAGACTATACAAGTTTGTGTGGAATTTAGACCTTCGAGTTTTATTGAAAACGTAACGAAGCTACAAAACAGTTAAAACAATACTTTTAATTTAATCAATAATCTTCGTCGTTAAGGCTTACGTTTGCACCTAGTTTTATAACATAAATTGTTTTATATACCGCAGATTTTACATACAATATTTTTTACAACACCTACAATAATGTGATAATAATTTTTATTGTAACTTTTTAGCATAGTATACATAATGAGTTTATTATATACATGTATACATAATCACTTACATATAATATTATGATTGAATTTTGTGTTCGTCAGAATAATAAAAAATTCCAAGGAGTATTTCTTGGAAAAACGTTTTCAGATTATTTATTTAATTTGTATATTCATACACAGTTCAGGAAACTTAAGTAACGTTCCTATTTTTAATAAAAACTGTATGACTCCATATGACTAAATAAAAATATGACCTGTTGTTTTAAAAATTCTGCGACTCGCTACATACGATGTTCCTATTGCGTCAAAAAATAAAGACTATTTATTTACATGGCTGTGCGTATATTCAATGCCACGTGTCAACGTGGCCGTTATACATCCGATATTTTGACTGTAGCCGTAAATAAATAACGTTAATACGTACGAAGGTACCGCTTTCCAGTGTGCCGTAAATGACGTTTTAATTGCTTCGTTTACCTACCTGGGAGAATACAAATCTATGCGAATAAAGGCACACTTTTGTGTATTTAAGGTCGTGAGTCATAATATCGCACGATTTATCGATCAAATGGTAGAGCAACAAAAGTTGACAGTAACTAGAACGGCCCTTACGTAGTGTGTGTAAGTATACACTGGCTATCAACTAGTAACAGGGACAGAGCTTGGACTACATGACGGATCCATCTACGCATAGAGCCATCGACATTGTACTATATTCGTTCTTGGAAACGTGTTTTATTATACGTATTTTATAATATATACTTATTTTGGTCAAAATTGCAAATTTTGGTTATTCTTATTTTGTTGAAATTCCGATGATAAATCAATTTGTGACATAAAGAGGATAAATATTTACCTATTAAGATTCAAGCAACGTTTGCGAAGCGTACACCTGTCAAGAGAACTGTTGCCAGTACTAAATATCGCACCTGCGATAAATGTCATAATATAGTTACACAAAACGTACAGGCTGGTATTCTGGTATAGAGTCGAAGTTCTTATTTAAAACCGTCTTAAGATATCATAAACCTAGCTGTATTAACATCTTAAAACGATCTTGAAATAAGGACCGACTATAAATATACCAGCTATATTAGCTGGTAATACATAGCGTGCGCAAACATAAAAAATCTCGGGGTATTCATTAAATACAGTATTCGCGACTTCAAATCTGTCTCCGAAGAAAAACGGGATCTCCGAGAATTCGTATTTCGTCGTACATCTTAAAAGAGCCAGGATGTTAGATGCTGGGCGATCAGAGCTCGCGATTTAGGTACGTGTATCCGGCGGTCGAAGGATATAGTGGCGGTGAGACTGGTCGGTGGATGGGGATAGCGTCGGGTAGGAAAGGGGAGAAATTTTCGCGTGTTCCTCGAGGTTAACGGAGACACTCGGGAAATTTATACTTCGGCAATAGTAATACCGCGGGTGTGAGGCAGGTGCCGGCGGTGGTCCAATCGATAGGACATTAAAACAGAGGGGAAACGGAGAGGAGGGTGCTCCTACCTTCGGGGCAGGCGCCTCGACGAGTAACCCCGCCATAAACGGAGGAAAGCCTTCTTTTACTCAGCCGTACATCTAACTTCGCCGTGATTTACGTCGCGGATTTTGGCGGGTCGCACTAAAACTCCGGCCACTCTCCATTTAGCCCCGAAAAATGATGTTGTAAACCGTGACGGTCACCCCCTTTTATTTGATCGGCGAAAGCCGAGAGGACGGCGTCAAGTTTGACGTGGATATGTGATTTCGTTAGTTATTACCTTGAGAAATACTCTTTCCGACTCCAGGGACAATCGGAGTTAGATGCGATAATTAAAATGCTGCTCGGAAGAAAATCATCCACCGTGCCGTTATACTACCGTAATTCTGATTTACATAAAATGCATTTTTCATCTTCTTTGCTTACACAAGTGTTTGAATAATTTGTTATTTCATTTCTTTTTTACTATAATCCTTTAGGAATGAAATTACGAACATTGTTGTTTTAATCGACGCGCTTTGCATGCCTTGTAATCTTCTTTAAAGTGACTGTCCTTGGACTTTGGGAATGACGCATTTTGGTAAAAGAGAACATTATAAGATGTATAAAGTTTTCTTAAAGATCTGCAAAGTATAGTTAATTTGGAATAAGTACATTTTTGGTAATTAAGATATACCGATTGATACATATTTAGACTTATCTTATTAAACTTTTTGAAATAGACAGCAATTTCTTCTATAACACTAAAAAGAAATGTTTTTCATGTTATAGAGACAGAACATGAATGAATAACAGAGCTGCAAAATGTTATGTTTAAGAATTATATGAATCTAATAAATTATTGTGTCTAATAAAGTTTTATATTTCTTAAAAATAAAAATAATTTATTAACTAATAACTTTATATGTTGAGAAGTAATCTACAGTGCAAAATTATATAAAGGTGATAGTATTTTATGCAAAATTTGAATATCGTAGCTAAGGCTCATATAGTAGAATCAGTTTATTATCTCAGCTACGATAAAACGATAAATTTTCTACTTTCTAAATAATCGGATTAATAGTATCGTATAGTATCGCTCACTTACCGCTTTTTTGACGAACGAAACAAATCCATATCCCTTGGATTTTAAAGTTTGGGGATCCCTGACAACTCTGCAATCTCTGTAACATAAATATTATATTCTGTAAGATAAGCTATAAATATAAATAGTGGCCCGTATTCAGAACGCGTTTACGTTATACGCATACCGTAGAATTTCAGAGATAAAAGCGCGCTTTTATCAATAAAAACGCGTTCTGAATACGGCCCAGTGTGTGTAAGATTAAGATTCAATTAATCACGAATTTTAGAACAGATATCTCGTGTTAAATTCAATATCCGTTTCTTTTATTAAGAATTATTTAATTAAGAGCTCTTTTATTTTAATATGTATCTGACATTCTTTTTGATTAGTCACAAGCTTTAAACATCTTAAATAATTATTAAAATTTAAGTAGTAATTTTATGATATATCTTAATTACATTTTTCCTCGCTATCGAAGTAACATTCATGTGTACGTAATAATATGTACTATTCCTCTAGAATTCTCTCATTTTCCTTTATACCTGCATTATCGCAATATCACAGTATGATACCTCATACGAGACCTCAATTTGTTTCATGCGCAATTGAATTTTGAAGCGCTCATATCCTCTGGAAAAGTACTGGCGACATTGTCGGGCGAATTGGGACCGGGTTGCCGGACCACCCTCGACGAATTCTTCCTCATAATTAAGATTCCAGCAGCGCCCGGCGGACAAAATTAGGAATACTGGAACGTGCGACATGGCCCTGGAGGCTGCAGTCGTTTCGACGAGAGATTAAGGCGAGGAAATATTCTTTCGACCGATAGAGCCGGGGTGGCGCGAATAAAATTCCGCACCGCATATATACCGATCCCTCCCTTTCGCTTCCGTTATCCGCGGCGGCTATCTCGACTTTTCTCGACCGCAATTGGAAATTTTCAAAAGACTATGTCGCGCGGCACCCATTATCAACTATGCACGGTGATTGATGTAGACGGAACGCGCGCGGCGGAACTTTGATATATGACACTTTCCGCGTACTACGGAATTAATTGCCCGTAGAAAAAAATTGCTGGCGTGAAGATGACAGTACTGATCCTCTTCCTTTATCTTCTCGTTTGTGATGGATTAAGTGCGGAAGAGCAGCAAGTAATTAGGAAATAGATCGTTGAACGACGTCCATAGGACGTTTATGCGATGGTTGTGCATTTTACAAATTAGTTAGACAAAACTTGATAAGTATTGTATTAAAATGCTTCCATTCTCTATTTCGGTATACATTATTTCTTTTGCTAGTCTAACTGAAAGCATGATATGCTCAGCTGTTTTACGAAGACAAGTCATTAAACGCATAATGCGTATAGAACGACAATTTAATGTGTTATGTTTGAAAAGTCTTGCAAAAACGATGTTCGCTGTGATACACGCGGATGGAAAGCGAAGAATAGGCAGTGAAAAAAAAAAGCAAAAGAACGACCTCGTTTGGGAAGAGGAGGCTTCAAAGGAGGTTTGTCAAAAGGAAGGAACGTAAAAGAGAATAAAAGAGAAGGCAGACGGAATTACGCGCGTTTCAGGCTGTAGCCAGTCGGTACTTCCACTCTGTGCATCAATTTGAATGCACACCTGCCGCGGTTTCGCCCGTAATTAAAACGATTAATCGATCAAAGGACGTATCTGGGCGGAAGCGAAAAGAGAGTGAGAAAAAATTTGTACCATGTGTACACCCTCCCTAATGAGTATAATGGCAGAGAATAAATTAATCTATAATGACTAATGCGAAACGTTACTAGTAGCGCAGCAGTAATTAAACAAATTGAAACCCGACGATGTGTTCCTTTTGCTGTAGCAAGGAAAATCACGGAATGAATTAAAGATTCGAAAGGCGAATTTCGAACTACGAATCGTCAGTCCAGTCGATTAATCTTTATTGGAAATAAATTGTAAATTGGTAAATCGACGCGCGTTCCCCCCTCTCTCTCTCTCTCTCTCTCGTAATCTTTTAGCGGTGCTATGTTTCAAGTAACAAATATGGGTGTATAATTTTAATCGACGATGCCTTTCCCTCGTGATGATACGCGCGCGACATCAAAGGCCTTTTAGAACCGCGATATACTGTTTCCGATTGCTTTTGCACCGAACGGTCGGCAAACGTCGTAGTTTACGAGCTCGGAATGTTGAGTGGTCAATATAAGTTAGATGTAGAACACGCTGCTAGTCGCCCGCATACGCCGTTACCCACACTTCGCATCTCTCACGCCGCATATATAGCCCGCGTTCGTTCTATCGATATAGGTTTCAGCTGTGTTGTATGTTTCCGTATAGCTTACTCTCTTCCCCTATGCCGTTCCTCTTTATGCCCATTTTCTCTGGCTGGGCCGCCGCACGTAGAGCGAAACAATTGACGCGACGGCGCGGCGTGCCCCGTGGATTTACGTTCTTCACCGCAAAAAATCATAAATTAATGCACGGTTATTGACGCGATAAATCTCAGAATTTAATTCAGGTTCCGTCGAGTCTTGTCGCACGACACGGCGCCGTCCCCTCTCGTCCGTTTTGGCTGGTGATATAGCCGCGACAATGCCAGAGGCTCGCACTCTGGCGGGCAAAGCCTCGATAGGATAAAGAGTAAGTCTGGATTTATTGCCATCGAGCCAGTCGAACACGATGGACGTGTGGATAGAAAAGGTTTTGCGTGGGCGGATTGAAGAGCACAGAGGGAGCGATGATTCAAATTGTACGCCGGACGTGTATCCGATGTGACGAATCCCCGCATAAGTTATCTCTCGCAATCAGTCTATCAATTTTGAAATTGCGTTCCTGTGTAATATTGTACTGTTCATTCTTTCGTATCAATAATAGTTAGTGACATCATAAATAATGAGCAAATTGATTGTACGATATAATTTACATTCTTATAGACATACACACACATGTGTAATAGAAAATGTAGCGCGAAAATGGCGATATTGTGTTACGATATTTCTATAGCTGTAGGGAAATTTGCATCCAAGGATACACCGTAAGTTCAGATTTATTGCCGTCGACTAGGTCGGGCGTGATAGACGCGAGAATGGAAGGATGGGGTGTGTCGATGTTTCAAATTGCGCGCTAGGGACGTAATCCGCAGAAAGATTGCAGGCTTGTTGTTCGTTCTATCAATTTCGAAATCTTGATTCTACGTTGTTTATATAGGTGATATCTGTCACGATTACACAAACGGATGAGCGCTTACTTTCTTAAATTCTCAGGCTATCCCAATCAAATATATTAATAGGATTATACTTTTTATTTTTCAATCCAGAAATAGAGTCATCTGGGGCATCTTTTATCTTAATGGCGAAAGATGTGCACTATTGGTAAATATTGTTTTGTTATTTCACGAGTGTTTTCTTCAGAGGTGCTAAACGGTTTATGGGTTAACACCGTGATCCGTTGTTAATGCCTAATTAACAATTGTATAACATACTAACTATTTAACATATATTTTTTTAAATAATTATTCCTTATGAACTTTTAAAATATGCACTTTTATCGCAAATCTGTAATAAGAAAGAGTAAAATATTAATTAAAATCTTTATTTTTAAAAAATACTATCATATGAGGATCGTCTGATAAATCCATCACGCGAAATTATATATAAGCAACTAAGATCCAAGCTAAACTGTTATAGGCTTTGTATTCGTGTTAGTTATGTTGTTACATTAAACGGTCTTTAATTGAATATTGACGAAAAATAATGTTTACTCACTACACGAAATTCTTTCTCGTTTATTTTTCGCAAATCATGATAATTGATCGATTTAAATGAACGCTAAACACAGAGTAATAGATCTATTTTACTGAAACTTGATATGTGATCCTTCAAGAGTTTCCGGATACTAAAAATAACCTCGATACATACTGGTAGTGCCATTTCTTAGACTTTGCACGGACAACCCTCGTAATAAGCTTAATGTACAATATTTATCTCGTTCATCACTAAAACCGCGGGTCTAAATTAATCCAATCACAGTTCAAGGTAAATTTGGCTTTTTACGAGGAAGGGTTGTCACCATAAAAGTAAAATTACTTGTAATTAAATATGATTATTTGTGAAATCACAAAAATCTTCAGTTTCACGTGCAAATCCAAATTAAACGGAAAAGAAAAATTATAAGATAGGTTAAAAACGGTACAGCCGTGTTAATGTTAATATATGTGTATTTAGTTTCTGCTTATTTTTTTCAAAAAATTGTAATTAAATCCATATTCATAATATTCTTAAATACCAATAAATTAAAAAACTATCAATAACATACAACACAAACAGGTTAATTAAAAAGAAGCACTTCTATTATTGTTTAATTAAAAAGAAGCACTTCTATTATTATTGCAATATACAATAATAATAACATCAATTGGGATATAAAGATATTTCAGATGATCGTTTACATCATCAAAAAGGTCAAGTGATTACTCCTAGCTTAAAATACGATATTGCTTTGTCCGAATCAATAATGTGTTGATAATAACTCGTAGAAATTATCATAGGCATGAGATGTATTAATAATAAGAACTTTCTAAATATTATATATCGCAATGATTATGATTTCGTTCCATTTCTACAAAGTAACTTTCTTAATGCGATTTAATTCTTTTTAAACAAGTCACGATGATTCAATCGTTTAACAAGTTTCTAGATTTTGTTCTCTTTAATCTGAAGGCAAGTATAGTGGAGCTTGTAAAATTCCCAGTGGTAATTTCTTTTATCTCGCAAAGTAAATGCTCGGAATTGATAAAAGCTGGCCGGTAGTCCAATTTTGATAATTAACATGCGATTCACTTGTACGGTATTTACTTAACAATTGCTGGTTTGTAATGCCTGCTAGAACGTATTCTGTTCGTAAACACCGTACTTTTGCCAGAATGCCCGATGCATTTCAACAAGTCTAAACTGATCTCCTTGTGCTTTTCGCATTTTGTTCGTATCTTTTTCCTGCATCCTCTCTTGCCTATCTGCTTTTTATCTACTTTCATTCTTGTCTAATGCGCCATTTCCCTTCTGCATTCATGCTATTCCCTTTTCATACATACTATTCTATTATTTTGGAAACA